AATGGAAAAAATGCACAATATTTTCTGCAAACAGTGATGCATAGTTACTTCTTATGCCATAAATTGAACAAAAATAAAAAATAAAAACATTATTATGGCATGGTGCAAAAGTTTGGGCACCCTACACAATCAGTACTTAGTAACACCTCCTCTGGCAGATATCACAGCTTGCAAACGCTTTTCATAGCCAGCTAAAAGTCTTTCAATTCTTGTACTTGGGATCTTCTCCCATTCTTCCTTGCAAAAGGCTTCTAGTTCTGTAATATTCTTTGGTCGTCTTGCATGCACAGCTCTTTTAAGATCTACCCACAAATTTTCAATGATGTTTAAATCAGGGGACTGTGATGGCCATTCCAAAACCTTCAGCCTGCGTCTCTTGAGGTATTCCATAGTGGATTTCGAGGTATGTTTAGGATCATTGTCCTGTTGTAGAAGCCATCCTCTTTTCAGCTTCAGCTTTTTTACAGATGGTGTGATGTTTGCTTCCAGAATTTGCTGGTATTTAGTGGAATCCATTCTTCCCTCCACCCGTGCAATGTTTCCTGTGCCACTGGCTGCAACACAACCCCAGAGCATGATAGATCCACCCCCATGCTTAATAGTTGGCAAGGTGTTCTTTTCATGAAATGCTGCTCCTTTTTTTCTCCAAACATGCCTTTGCTGATTGTGTCCAAAGAGTTCTATTTTAACTTCATCAGTCCACAGCACTTGTTTCCAAAACGCATCGGGCTTCTGTAGATGTCCTGTTGCATACTTCAGACGTTGGATTTTATGATGGGGACGCAGATAAGGTTTTCTTCTGCTGACTCTTCCATGAAGGCCTTGTCTGTGCAAGCATCGCTGCACAGTGGAACGGTGCACCACCACTCCTGAGTCTGCTAAATCTTCCTGCAGGTTTTTTGCAGTCAAATGTGGGTTTTGATTTGTCTTTCTGACCAGCATACGAGCAGTTCTGTCCGAGAGTTTTCTTGGTCTTCCAGATCTCATCTTGACCTCCCCAGTTCCCCTGATCTGCCATCTCTTAATTACATTTCTTACTGTGGAAACTGCAAGCTGACAACGCTTTGCTATCTTCTTGTAGCCTTCTCCTGCATTGTGGGCATCAATAACTTTCATTTTCAGGGTCTTACACAGCTGCTTAGAGGAACCCATGGTTGCTGGGTGTCCGCAAGTGTGTGCACAAGGTTTGAAGAGTCAAGGTATTTGTACAGCTTTGAAATTGGCATTTACCAATGACAACTGTTGCTGTGCATCAGATCTAACGAGCTGATTAAGGTCTGAAACCTTGTGAGAGACTTTGAGACTCTGGAACTCTTAGGGTGCCCAAACTTTTGCACCATGCCATAATAATGTTTTTATTTTTTATTTTTGTTCAATTTATGGCATAAGAAGTAACTATGCATCACTGTTTGCGGAAAATATTGTGCATTTTTTCCATTTCCAAGAGAAACTGTGTTAACATCTGTTCAAATAAAAAATCACCAAAATCTGTTATTTATCAAGGGGTGCCTAAACTTTTGCATAAGACTGTATCAACACCCCTAAAAAAACAACTTCAAATTCAGTCAACATGCACTTTATTCAAAGACGTAAAAGTGCAGTGTCCACACTGTAATACGACCGCTAAACAAAATATTCCAGTTATAAATGACAAGTTGCCAGATTTCATAATGTCAACCATCTTTTCTCTTAACAGGTTCATAAGAATTCAAATTTAATTGTAGCCTGACATTTTACAACAGGTCCAAATATAATGTATATAGGTCCAAAGTTGACTAAAATGTGACACAATTCCAGATATTTTTTCATTTTGGAAAAAAAAAACTGTCAGCAACTTGTCTTTACTTTTGTAGTTCAATGGTAATTGATTTAGTCCCATGACGCTTTAAAATGAAATAGTCTGTTACATGATCATTGCACCAGTAGCGACCAATGTTCTAGAATTTTGACATCACTGTTGTGATTGTTCTCTTCCTGTAATTTGTTCAGTTTGATGCCACTTCTACCGACAGAAATCATCAGTAGTCATCCGGTCATGTTAAAAAGCTTCTTCACTCGGATCTTTTCCAGTGGTCAGGGAGCGCAGGATTTACGCAGCCTTCCAATGTAGAAATTTATATTCAGGTTTAATAATAGTAAAGATTGTGCTGTTTTAGCTACTGAAAAGGATATAACAATATTAGAAAATAAAGTCGTAAATAATTGAGTCGTTTTTATTTAGTCTCAACAGGAATAATTGCTGTTCTCTGTTCTGATTGGCTGAGACTCAGTTTGTGAAATGCCAGATAATTGCACGCACCTGTGGCATCAGGACAGTTAGTTAAAATATGAATATGCAGTCCGGAACATGTGTGTCACTGGCAGCCAAGCTGTTATTTTCTCACGATGTATTGTCCAGTTTGGCGCAAAAATCTTTTTTTATGTGTAAATTAAAAAATTCTGTGTAAATTAGTATCTGCTTCGTGGTGGGTGTTACAGCCCCGATTAGTTGGTTTAAAATCGGTGTAAAACCGCCACCCTCTGTGGATTGTCGCTTTGATTTATGTGTAAGACAGTGCAAGGAACATAATCGCACAAAACTAGTGAGGCAGCGCAATAACTCAAGGAATAAGTTCCCGTGTGTCTGTGTGCGCGCTGGATGGATGATGGTGAACTTGGCCCTGTTTTTAAAGAACATACACGTAGAGCGGATGGGTGACACCGCGGCTACAAGACCTCGTGGCACTGCTGTAGCTAACCCGATACAAAACAACACATATAAACCATTTGGCTTCATCAGACCTGACTACTAACACTAGCTACGTTACACAGTTTGTATCAATGTGTTTTTGGTGCTTTTCACACTACTAACCTGCATAAACAGGAGAAAAAAATGTGACACAATTCCAGATATTTTTTTTTTATTTTGGGAAAAAAAAACGGTCTGCAACTTGTCTTTATTTTTGTAGTTTAATGGTAATTGATTTAGTCCCATGACGCTTTTAAATGAAATAGTCTGTTACATGATCATTGCACCAGTAGCGACCAATGTTCTAGAATTTTGACATCGCTGTTGTGATTGTTCTCTTCCTGTAATTTGTTCAGTTTGATGCCACTTCTACCGACAGAAATCATCAGTAGTCATCCGGTCATGTTAAAAAGCTTCTTCACTCGGATCTTTTCCAGTGGTCAGGGAGCGCAGGATTTACGCAGCCTTCCAATGTAGAAATTTATATTCAGGTTTAATAATAGTAAAGATTGTGCTGTTTTAGCTACTGAAAAGGATATAACAATATTAGAAAATAAAGTCGTAAATAATTGAGTCGTTTTTATTTAGTCTCAACAGGAATAATTGCTGTTCTCTGTTCTGATTGGCTGAGACTCAGTTTGTGAAATGCCAGATAATTGCACGCACCTGTGGCATCAGGACAGTTAGTTAAAATATGAATATGCAGTCCGGAACATGTGTGTCACTGGCAGCCAAGCTGTTATTTTCTCACGATGTAGTGTCCAGTTTGGCGCAAAAATCATTTTTTTATGTGTAACTCAAAAATTCTGTGTAAATTAGTATCTGCTTCGTGGTGGGTGTTACAGCCCCGATTAGTTGGTTTAAAATCGGTGTAAAACCGCCACCCTCTGTGGATTGTCGCTTTGATTTATGTGTAAAACAGTGCAAGGAACATAATCGCACAAAACTAGTGAGGCAGCGCACTAACTTAAGGAATAAGTTCCCGTGTGTCTGTGTGTGCGCTGGAGGGATGATGGTGAACTTGGCCCTGTTTTTAATGAGTATTAGGCAAGCGCAGGTCTCCCCGACTCAACCCTGGAAAATAACGCAGCGTGACAAATTAGAGCTGTTCTCAGACCCAAAATTCACACACGGCTCAAATGGAAGGTTGGCACATCAGTTTAAATCCCAGATTTAGGGGGTAATTATTCAGTTATTTTCTGCCTACATGGCAGCAAACTAGATGATCGAAGCCACACAGTTGTAAGCATTTTCTTTCCCTCTTTTTAATTGTAGTTTTCGTTAGACAAATGACTGCACAGTTGGCATTAAACAGACCATAGACCATCATCTGCTGTGACTCCACACAGGCCGATTCACATTCAGTTAATACAGATGATAGGTAATTGGAATATGATTACGGACCGACAGGACCGTTATTTGTCAAATAATAATAAACAATATTTAATAGCGACATGTGTCACAGTTCCCGAAAAGAACTAGGGTAGATACACACACACACGCACACACACTACCCGTAAAGAGCCTGGACGCACTATCCCACTGAAATGAATGGGAAAGTGTGTCCAGTCTTTTGACTGGTATTTTTTGAGTTTTGTATTTCGTGAGGTCTTACAGTGTTTAATTTAGCTATGATAAGAGTCTGTGTGACAATGTAATTATTTATCAAAGATGTTTCTTATGTACGTAATTAAGAAAATTAAACCATGTTAACAGGAGACAGTACAATTCCTCTGGTGGAAATGAGAACACAATGGAACATGTGTTGTATTTTAAGTCCTCATGTTTGAGATTTTTTTTTTTGGTTTACATTAACTTATGTTTAAATACAATCCAGAATTTTGTTTCAAATTAAGATTTCCTTTTGAACCTTATTTGAGTTGTAAATGAGTGGCCCATAAGGTACACACACTGCTCATTCTGACTGGGCGCTGCTCAGTCTGTGTTTATGTCTGCGCTTGTATCTCTCTGAGTTAAATGAACTTTCAGGAGTGTGTCTAGCTGAAGTTTCATGGTCATTGTGTCTTCTCTGGCACATCTATCAATCTTATAAGATTCACACTCAGACCTGCTGCCAAGTGACTGCTATACAGATAGCCTCGGGGCACTCCCCTCTCTCTCTCTCTCTCTGTATCACACACACACACACACACACACAACCGCAGTGTGTAAAAGACATCATTTTCTGAATTATGCATACAGTGATAAACTGTGTGAAGCAAACAGGCAGGCAAGCTGATGTGCATCCTTTTCTCTGTCTTCACTTCAGATCAGCGGCAGTATGAACCTGGGCTGTGTGTGTCGGCCAGCCTGCTGGACCTTTGGCAGCGTGTTGGACTCCAGACACTGTGTCTTTGCCCTCACACTGGTCACGCTCCTTATGCAGGTGGTTGTGGAGGCCAACTCGTGGTGGTATGCATTCATTTTCTCTCCATACTGTATGTGCAGTATGTTTGTCTTCATTTATGCATAGTGTTTTTTGAGTGTTTTTATTTGTCATATAATGACTAGAGAGCTTTCAAAAAGCGTTTTCTACCCTTTTCAGTCATTTATGAATGGGGCATCAGTGTTTATAAAGCCATGAGAAAAAATCCACTGAGCTTTAAGAATCTGTTATTAGTGTTTACATTGCCTTTTACTAAGTTTAAGTGAATTCAGTCTTATGTATGACTTCAGTTGCCCCAGATAATTATGAAGTACTATAACATGCTGACTGAAGCACACTAGCCTTTCAGGAAGACCTTTTTTCCTTTATTTTCTTTCTTCACATATTGCCAAACCAAAATTATAAATATTATTAAAAAAAAAACAGAATACTGTGGTTTTTGAGTCTGCTTCCAAATATCTGCAAATGCTGTGTGTAAATGCTTGTATGCATTTGTGTGTGCACACGTCCTGTTGCTATTAGGGGAAAAAAGTCTATATTTGAGCATGCTGCACGTAATCACACTTCTGATATGGGAAAATATTGTTTAGTAGTCACCACAAAAGCACTGCATATTTCAGGTTACAACACTTAACACCCAGTGGCTGTCTCTCTGTGTTGGTCTAATTATGCACGTGCTCATAACTGTGTATTCCAACAAACAGTAAATGCCTGCTTCCTTTTGTAACATTTTTATTTGCTCAAAAGAGTAGACTATTTAAACAATTAATTATCTGTGTAAATGCTCTTCTAAACGTATTTTAATAGGCTCACCTCAGTGGGCACCTGCATTAAAGCTCAACTAATGACTTGGATTACAGAGCAAGCTAAAGACTTTCACAACACTACAGACCCTTTGGAAAGCTGTTTTTGAGTGCACACTGGGTGTGTCTTTCAGTTTCCTTTTTTAGAGGTCACACAGGTGTGAATGATTTGGAGTGTCAGAGCAGACATGCTGACTGTGTGTGTGTGTCTGTGAAATGGCGACAGTCTACGTGTGTGTTTGGGCATACTAACAATGTGTATGTTGGTTTTCTTTTCTATAGTTACGTGTGTACATCTGTGTATATCTTGTGTGTGTATTCAGTTTGAGTTCCCTCACTGCTGAGTTTCCCCAGTTGATCGGGTTACACTGGGGGCTAATTGTCTCTCTCCTGGGGCTCAGGGATGGGCTGTTCTAATCACCCTGTGGCCTGGAACCAGATGTTCATATGACTGTTCTCTCTCAGTTTTAATTGTATTTGTTCCTGTCTTGTTCCTCTCTTTCATTTTTCTATTGTTCTAATGTATAATTTCTTTTAGAAGGCATTACATGTTGATAGTTGACTAAAATATTACTGTCTAAAACTGTGGTTTCATTCCTTAAATTTGGGCTGAACCACATCATGGGTCTCAAGATAAATCAGAAGTGTTTGCAAGCTTCTTAATAAAAAATGTACATTCCTGCCACACAAAATTATGTTTATGGCTTTTTTTGTAAAATACTTGAGATACTTGCATCTTAAAGTCTCTAAAATGATTTAAATGAAACAATCTTGGTTGGGGAGTATGACATTTTGTTTGGCTGTGGCAAGACTTGAGTATTCTTTGCTAGGCTATAAGGGGTAAGTCTAAAAACATGGGAGGCACTGCTAGGACACCAAGCACTTGTGTTTGAGATGTCCTCTTTCCTTGATGCATTCACAGTTTGTTTTTTTTTATTTATTATTTTTTTTACTTTTCCTTTTTCCTCATTTCCCCTTTCTCCTTGACTCTTTCTTCTGTCTTGTCTCTGCTTCTATTTACTGTTTGCTCTTGACCCTAAAGTCCACATTGCTTTTCAGTTCATTGTCATAATAAGCTAATGTTTTTTTTTTTCCTCTGTTCAGTAACTAACTGCATTCCATTTCAGTGTTTAACATAGCTTCAGCAGCGAGAAGGAGGAAACCAATCAAGTGAAATCATCTGTTGATTATGAAATTGGCTTGAGAACTTGCATGCATTTGTTATAATGCTACATGAGTGAAAACAACTGCTTTGTGTGTTCTACATAATATCCAGGTCTCTGGCCATGAACCCATTATTGATCCCAGAGGCCTACATCATTGGTGCCCAGCCTCTGTGCAGCCAGCTGGTGGGCCTGTCGCAGGGCCAGAAGAAGCTTTGCCAGCTCTACCAGGACCACATGCCATACATCGGTGAAGGTGCCAAGACCGGCATCAGAGAGTGCCAGTACCAGTTCAGACATCGGCGCTGGAACTGCAGCACGGTGGACAATTCCTCTGTTTTTGGACGAGTCATGCAAATAGGTAAGAAACAGGCAAAGATGTTAAAAATATTATGCGGTAGAAACATGCATGTGAACACACAGGAGAATATTGTTGATTTGGTCATTTTGGAGGCTGTTGGCCTGCTGTTGAACTGTACTGCATTAAACCAAGGGGTAGTCCTGTTATTTAACCTAGCCTCAGTGACATTGCAAATAGGCTGGGCTAAATAATATAAATACCTGTAAGCAGTACAGTTCAACAGTATTACAGATCATACCGTTGAACAAAGACCTCTGTAGAGCACATCCAATAAACTATCACCTTCATGAAGGAAAGATCAGTTGCATTAGGTTTAACTTGGTGTATCTAATAAACTGCCAGCTGATTGTATATATGTATACAGAGTGTTCGCCACTCTCAACATGCACACATTTGCAGAGTATATTATTCACCAGTTTTATGCTGCATCTCCACTATCAGACCCTAAAGAGTGGTATACCCCATACTTCACCCCTCATACCTCCTGGGTTGATGCTGGTTGTCCACTCTATCTTGTTGATCCACTGTATTTTCTCTGTGTCAGTCTCTAGTCATTTTTACACCACTTCTGTTCCAAAGAGTCACTAATATGTTGCCCTTGTGCTGTTCAAGCTAGAGGCAGCATAATCGTGAGCCTGTGAATTTATTCAGCCTGTGAATGCACCAGAGGCGCAACACAAAGTCGCTTTTCATCAACTGTGACATAGATTTTACAGCGCTAGTCTACAAACCAAAAAAAAAAAACAATGATGGGAGAGATAAGTGCGGATATAGCTTTGTTGGCTCTTCAAGCATTTTTTTTTTAAACTTCACATAAAATTAGTTAGCATGGTTCTTGCTATGTGTGCGAATGTCATGAGTAATAACTGCATCAACGTATTCGTGGCATCAGGAATGCTTTGACCTGTTAGAAACAAGCTGAGAACAGTTCGAGGCAGAGAGGTGTGTGCAAATGTGAGATGCCAGTGATAGTTTTGCGCACATATGTTTAGAGGAGGGAGGGGCGCCTTATGGTTACATTCAGCCAGTAATGGAGACTGTATGAGCAGTTTATCAAACATCTATTGAACAAGCAGAACACAGTTGCACAAATATGATGTGTTCACCACTTTGCCCACGGTCCACTTTATGAAGGCCCCATTTTACCCCTAAACCAGTGAGTGAAGTTCTCATTTTACCTCAAAACCAGTATAAAAGCCTGTTTACGCACCCTATTTTGTAATGCTAATGATTGAGGTGTGCAGAGTGGACATTTAATCGGTCATGGGTGACTGGTATGCATGCACGCCATCTTCCCTCGCGTTCCTGGAACTTGAGGGGTGCTGAAATTTAGCTCCCAGAATGCACCTCCAAAGTGGGTGCACCATAGTGGAAACAAATGCAAAACCCATGACGAGCGTTACTCGGCTCAACACATTTCGGTAGGTTCCTATAATGGAAAAACCCCTTTAGTGTCATGCCTTTCTTCATTCTTCCACTCCCTGACTCACCAACACACTTCTGTGTGTGAAATGCATGGGGCTGCTGATTCTCACCAGCTGTGTGGAGGGAATAGTTAGTGGGTGAGGTTGCTGGATAAATCACATGTGGCTTTGGCCTGCTAAACCAGCTCCTGACATGGAGCAGGAGGGAGGCTCTGCTTTTCCCGGGATGAATGAGAGACAATCTAAAACACACAGATGTACACACTGTGGAGCTGTCCTGTATTTACAAGTAATGGCAGTGCAGTGAGTGTATGCCCCAGTATATCACACTTGTCAGAGGCCAATGTTTGTCTGTGTGTGCATGCTCGTACAGTGCGCTCAGGTTTCTTATAGAAAATTCAAGAGCTTTGCAATCCTGTCTTAAATGTGATCCCCACTTATATCATTATTTAACATGGTTAGTTGAGTTTTCTCTGGATGTTTGCCTTCACCTAAGGGGCTAATCTAAAGGTGGTTTACCGTTCCTTGATTGTAACTCTCCAGGTGAATCGCAGGTGAATGGTTACATACAGTAGAGCCAAAATATGAACAAATACAATTTGAGCAGTAATATTAATAACCACTGCTTGCAGAGCTAACATTTTAGGATTCTTCTTCAATGCATACATAAAGGTGTACATTTTCTTCATCTTGGTAGTCTTTAAAGAGTCTGTTATAGTTATGTTACATGCAGGAAGTTTAGTTTGTTCATTTGTCCAGAAAAAGCGATGACCATCTCTGATGTTTCTGCTTCTATCCCACTGCAATTAATGGAAAAACTGGTGAATGGAATTTCAGTTATGGTGCTCTCACATTTAAAAATAAATGTTTAATGCAGTGAACAGCAACTTGTCTTTCCAGGAATAATGTTGTCATTACTCTTGATGCTGTCAACAGTTTCTGGGAGGCTTTTTTTTTTTTTTATAAAGCTGTTAAAATGAAAACCGATGATACCCGGGACAATGTTTTTGGGGTAGAGATTGTCAATTGATATTTTAAATGTAATGTTGTGGGGAAACAAAAATATAATTTTGTTCATTCTGCATTGTACTGGGGTCATGGTAGATATCTCAAAATCTTGGCACATAAAACTGAAACCATCTGCTTGGATAAATTGCACTTGGGGTAAACGCACATCTTTCTTTTTATTTTTCTTTGGTGAGGCAACCATTTAATGTGCTGTTTTCATGAATATACTTTACTAGACACACATGCGTGGGTTTTTGGACAATTCTCGCTGATTCTGCTTGTCCGTGTCTCTGCAGCCGCTGCTGAGTCCCTCTGCACAGATTAGTCTTCATAGAAACTTCATCAGCAGCCATTCCTCTTTTCTTTCCCTCTCCCCAACATCGCTCCAATATGGGCCAAGTAAACATGTCCTCCCCCATCTTACCAACCTACTAGCTTCAGACACTGATGGTGATTTAAAGCTGAGCTCTTTGGGGTGCTGCTGTGGCTGGGTTCATACCCTCTCCTCTGCCACAGATAGCTCCAGGATGGGGTACAGAAGAAGGGAGGCAGCAGTGGTGGAGATAGCTGTCTGTCTGCCATTAATTAAAAGTTACACTAGACTAATAGCCACCCTACCCCACCTCAATCCCTCCTCACTGAACACCTTCTGCCAAATTTCCCACCCACGACTTTCAGACCTTACAATGTATTCCTCTATTCATCTTCTCTTTTCTCCATCACTGTCTGTTCCACCTTTTATGATATTAAATGCATGTGATTCTTACATTTTTTTCCTTGAATGTCTTTTCTTAACTTCTCTCTTCAGTCATGTTTGTCTTTTCCTTCCCTCATCTGCTGTTCTGTCCATCTATCACTGTCATCATAGCACGCTCTCTAAAGGTTTGGCCCAGTACATATGAGCAGAGCTTTATTCTTTTATTTCTTTGTAGCAGCCCATTTTCAGTGTCAGTTAGCTACATACACTCACCAACCACTTTATTGGGTACAGTACACCCATACAATTGTATGCAATTCAGTGCAACACTTCCAATTTAAGGTCTGTGTTTATGAAACTCAAAATGTTTGAGTTTTTGGTGAAATTGCCATAAATGTATGAATTCATTTGAATTACTGATGTCATAGTTAAAGATGGTGTTTTACTGGACTACATTATATTCAGAGATGTTCCTAATATTCTGACCCTCTCATGTATGTAGCTGGGGAAAACAAAAATATAGAGACTCTTCTAAGGCAGCTGGGGAAAACAAAAATATAGAGACTCCTCTAAGGCAGAAGTGTTGAATTGCATACAGTTGTACAGATGCCCCTAATAAAGTGTAGTTTGGTTCGGTGTTTCTTCTTTGGTTGGTCTCCTAATCCTGATTTCCTCTTTTAGTCTGTGGCTTTGTACAATGGTAGTAATGGCTAGATCATTTGGTGGCAACAAAAACTACTTGTGTTTTGTTTTCTGTTCTTTATTTTCCCAAACTCTTGTCTCTATAGAGGAAATGTTGAGGGTAGAAACAGTGTGTGTTAATGAGCAATGGCTCCAGAATCTCTATGATGACAGACAAAGTAAATAAGGCTTTGTCACTTTCAATTTGGGTGAATTGGCAGCTGCTTGTTAATAAGGCTCTCTGTCACTGGAGGGCACTCTCTTCTCTCTGGCTGAATCCCAGTAACAGCAAACCAGATTCCACTGTTCAACATGTTGGTGATGAGGAGCCTGCAGCACTTGGCTCATGTGCTCTGTAATCTTAAGTGTATGTTGAATGCTATCATCACACTATACAAAGTTGAACACATTCTTAAAGCAAAATGACAGTGACACTTATTCAATATAAAATAACCACATACACATAACCTGCTAAAATTGAAGTAGTAGATGTCAAATGATAAAATTCCATTTATGCCTCTCTCATTTACTCTGGCTTTTATTGTGTCAAATGCGACATGACATCCCTGCTCTGTGTCTGCAGGCAGTCGAGAAACAGCGTTTACTTATGCCATCAGCTCAGCAGGGGTGGTGAACGCTATTAGCCGTGCCTGCAGAGAGGGGGAGCTGTCCAGCTGTGGGTGCAGCCGTGAAACTCGCCCCAAAGAGCTGCCCCGAGACTGGCTGTGGGGCGGCTGCGGAGACAACCTCAACTACGGCTACAGGTTCGCCAAAGAGTTTGTGGATGCACGTGAGAGGGAGAAGAGCTACCCTAAAGGCTCGTATGAGAGTGCACGGTTACTGATGAATCTTCACAATAATGAGGCTGGAAGAAGGGTAAGAGACTGGAATTGCATGCATAAATTGTACGCACACAAAAGGATCTTGACATGAAATTAGAAGCAAACTGGAAGATATAAACTGCAGGCCATAGAATGAGACCAACCACTGATAGAAAGAGTGAGAGGAGTCTGGCGGTGAGACAATCCAGGTCAATCAGATGGACCCCTGCTGATCATCTGTGTAACAGCTCTGTCTGCTTTCCCCTCGTGAGGCTTTGATCTGTGGGGAGATGGAGTCACTGGAGGCAGCTCTGGGGTTTCTTTTCTTTTCCAAACATCTTGAAACGAGCTCAGAATAAATGTAATGCCAGATACCTATTGCCAGGCTGTTCTCTTTCAAGTTGGACAAATGAGTGGACAGCATTTTATTCAGTGCACCATTGGAGACATGGACAGGATCATTTGGGCCTTTATGGCAACGTAATACCTTATGAGATCATGAGCAGGATATTGTGCAAATATTTATGAAGACAGAACAAATTAGAAATATGAGGCATGCAGCACTTGGACATGTATTTTTTTTTTTAATCTATAGTGTGCCACATAAGAATAAGCATCTTCTCTTAAGTTGTTCTTCATCTGTTTAACTCAAGTATTTCTGTGCTTGTCCTCCTCTTCGTAATCTCCTAGACGGTGTCAGACCTTGCCCATGTGTCCTGCAAGTGCCACGGTGTATCAGGCTCCTGCAGCCTGAAGACCTGCTGGCTGCAGCTGGCTGATTTCCGCAAGGTGGGAGATGCACTGAAGGAAAGATATGACAGTGCCGCAGCCATGAAAATCAACTCACGTGGAAAGATGGTGCAGATGCACAGCAAGTTCAACGCTCCTACAAGCCATGACCTGGTGTATATAGAGTCCAGTCCGGACTACTGCTTGAAGAACCAAAGCACTGGCTCCTTGGGCACATTGGGGCGCCTTTGCAACAAGACCTCGGAGGGCATGGATGGGTGTGAGTTGATGTGCTGCGGCCGTGGTTATGACCAGTACAAGGCACAGATAGTGGAGCGCTGCCACTGCAAGTTCCACTGGTGCTGCTACGTCAAGTGCAAACGCTGCACCAAAATTGTAGACCAATTCGTCTGCAAGTGAGAAAAGGAGGTGTTGCCAGTGTGTGTTTGCTTGCAGATGATGGGCATACACCTGTGTGTATAGATGAGCAGAGGAACAAAGGAGCTGAACACAGTGAGAAAATGGAAGAAAGAAACTATATAAATTATATTTATAGAGTTAAACAATTATTGCATTGCAAAAAGAGTGACTTTTTTTCAAAAAAAATCTTATGTCTTCAGAAACTGAGAGTATTGTGAAATATTAATTTTGAAATGTTTATGTTTTATTTTGGTCGAGTCATCACCGGCTGATTTTAACCCTGTCAAGTGCCTAAAAATGGCTAGAAATCTCCCTGCAACCCACCCACATCCCTTTAACTTCAAAAAATCACTTTTTCGAAAATTGGACTGTTTCCCTTTTCTAGCAAGTCTGTAGTTTGATATTTGTGCCATAGTTGTCTAATAGGTCCCGGTTTGAGACTGACTGTGTCATGAGGAGAATACCTGTGTGCTTTAGTGTATGGATGTGTTTTCATGGGCCCAGTCCCAAACCAGCCTTCACATTTTTACTGAAGTCTTCTTGTCCTCTCTAGTTGTATGTCGAGTAAGGAACACTGTTGGTCTGTATGAGTCCTTGGAGCACAGTGAGTACAATAAAAGGGCTGTTTTGGGAAGTGGGTCATTTATTAAGCTGCCTTAAAAGACTTGGATTTCCCCAGGTGTTGCAACAAGCCCTCCACCATTATGCACTTTGCAGCAGAGTCTTAAACCTGTCTTTGTGTGTGTTCAGCTGTTCTTACTACAGTGCATCAGCAAATATATCCACATTATAGCATACATTCCTTTCCGTATTAATTCAGATTATCCATTAATCATTATTCTTTACATGGTTTGAATATATATGGGCAATGTTGTGGTTACATTGGTGAAATATTAATGCTGTGTGTATATAGTATGTGTATCCAACTAACCAGTAAACTGTATTTATTTTCTTTAGCCAGATCCTCCTTTAAGCTTAAAACAGAAACAAATCTCCATCATAGATCAATATTTAGTCCTGGTCCCCAAGTTGTAAAGTCACTTTTTTTTTTCTTTTTTCAAATTTTGTTCCCACTAATGTGGCTTTTCACTGTTTTTATAAAGGGAAATGCACCTTATTGTTCCAAAAACCACATCTTTCTGCTCACTCATGTTCAACTTTACTGTTACACTCACACATATATCACAGATATTCAGATTTTGTCACCACAAATTTCCAATACCACTCAGTTAAGTGCTCACGCTCCTTGTGATAATTCTCAATAGACATTGTTTCTACCAATCCAACTATGTATATTTATAAACATCTCCATGAATTTGAGGTTTGTTAAACTTTATACCAGATTTTTTTTTTTTTTTTGCTTACTTTTTACAAATTTGCTCAATGCTCTACTTTGTTTCAATAAATATCAAATGTAAAACAAGCAGAGAAGTATTTACTCACAATATTTATTTTGTTTGTGCTGTTGGGCATGTTTTTAATCTAATATTTTAATTTACTAAATAGGTTTTTCTTGAAATGTGTGTGCCTCATTAGAGACGTGATCACTGGCTCCATAATACAATTTTACTTTTTCCTCTTCTTTTAAATCCAACAGTATTTCAGGGATTCCAGCATTGGGTTACAGTTGTTTTAGGTGTGGAGTGAACAAAGATGAGAGTTTGCTTGAGAGCTTTGGAAGATCGCCTGGAGATTGGGTGACTCCCAGGGGGAGGGTTGTGGTTCTTTTATAAATGCCCCTCCAACTATCCAGTGACAATGGATCAGTTAATAGAATGATTAATCATACTGTGTCAGGAGAATAGGAAGAAGGGGATTTTCAATGTGGGGGCAAACTGTTGTCTGGGAGACAACTGAGGGGCTGCAGGAGCTCAAGCAGAGGTGCAGAAAATGGGAGAAAGGTTTGGGAAATGAGTAGCAGGGGATTACTTGAGGTCTGGATGAGAAAGAGTGGAGTAATAAAGAGAAGGGTCATGAGAAGGCAGGCACGAGGAAAGTGTTTTAGGAAAAAAAGAGCGGAAGGCCTGCCATTACAATGTAAACACTCCTAACATTACCTAATATTTACATTGGTAAAATAATACTGACTTTAGGCGTAAATCCCACATGTGATGCTGTCAATGGGCCCCATGTGTGAGCGTGTATGCACTTGCATACAGACCCACTGTGTTACATCATGACAAGTGTTTATATTTCTGATTGGTGTCATGCAGGCCAATAAGCAAAACAGAAGACAAAGAAACAAGGTTAGCAAGGAGGGGGTGAGAAATTGACAAAGTAAAATGTTAAAGAGGTTTAACATATTGACATATTTCTGTCAACAGTAAGGTTTATATGGATTTGAAATCACCCTTTGACTTGGTGATATTTATGTCTATAAGAAATTCAAACTACTTGCATATGCTGGATGAGGCTCCTTGGATGTCTGCGTGAGTGATTCCTCTACAACCGCACAAACAGAAATCCAGGTGTGTAGAACAGCAGAAATACAGCAGGCGTATGAAACCTGAAATCCACAGGCACTACATGACTTACCTGACTAAATGACACCCTTTTTTAGGCAAGGATACAAATGTTCAAATCTGATTTTGCTGCACCTGCCCCCTTCTCTGATCCCACCTACAGTTTGACAGATCATGTGCTCAGCCTATAGTTTTAGCTGGTGTAAACCACCTCGTTCTCATTTGGTCTTTATTTCAAACATTAAAAAATTGTCTTAAGCCTTCATCAATCATGGTGTTACATTTTAAAAAGTTGAAATATGCAACAATTAGTTGCATCTGTGTGATTTTTTTTTTTCCTTTGTACTCATGCAAAGATAATTATGATCAGGAAGAGAACAGGTTGGATAAAAAAAAAAAAAAACTTAGGTTCACACAGGTTCTTGAGTAGCTTTATTCTTCTTCCACTGCATTAAGATTCCTTGGAGGTTCTTCGGCACATTTATGTGACAAGTTGTTTCCCTAAAATAGAGCAGCTGGTTGAAATGCTGACCATGTCTGCTGACGCCAGACTTGCTGACCACAGCTTTGTAGATTCATAAATACTTTGTTGATTCTGTCCCTGCTCTGGAAAAGGCTGAACTAATGTTTTACTGTAACTGCAATAAACCATGCTACACATTTTGATGCAATACATTTACACAGCATTTTACCATCTGTAAAACAAAAGCTCAGCATCAACATTGGCCTATTCCTTTTGTAATCAATGCTGCATGAGGGCTTGAAGAAGTCTGGGGTATATAAATTATAGTCTTATTCCTTTGCACATCACTACAACAGGCAATAAGTATCTGCACTGTAAAACTGTCACTGCAGAAAACACAATTGCAGAAAACATTACATTTTTTATTGACCAGTGTTGGTGAGCTTTGTGCTTTAAAGCCTTAGAAAACTGAATACATGAGCTGTCAGTGCAACAGCTCTGGCAAAGCTCATCTCTCCAAGCCCAAGTGGAGCTTGTTCCATTCCTGACTCTTACTGTAAAGCTCTTACAAAATGACAGCTGGGCCAAAATAAGAGAGCTCTGCAGAGCAGCATTTAGAGCTATTTGGGACTGTGGTTATGTGTTGTAGAGAAAGAGGGCAGGACACTCCACCGTGACGTCACAAACAGTCTGAACTGATTCAGAGAGATGGGTCAGTGCCACAAAGTTTCTGGCTCCCTCCTTCTCTCACTGCCAATTCTATCTCGGTGTCCCCCACTACTACCACCACTCCACCCCAGAAACCACTTGCACCACAAGTTATTTCATTGAGACACAACTCTGGCTTAAAATAGAAAGGTTGTACATGAAGGTCACAGTTTCTAAATGTACTTGACTGAAGCTTTTGTGTGTGTTTGCATTTGGGCTGGAGAGAGAGAAGAATCACAAACATTCTATCAGTTCTTTGTGCTCATCCTGCGTATTACTATTATCCTGATAACTTTAATTGTCTTATACTGGGCTGAACTGGTTATTACAGATATCCATTCACCCATTAGCTTTACTGTACATCCTATAATCATGATTGTAACAGTATTTAGTACTAAATACAGTTGCAAAGCAGAAGAATAGAAGATACCCCACTAGTGTGTGTGTGCGTGTGTGTGGCAGTGTAATGCACTGCAACTTGTTTTATTGCTCACAGATGTGAAAACATATTCACCTTCACATGACAGTAAAGGATTACCATCTGTTACTCTGTCATAAATGTCATACAGAATGATTAATTTTCCAAATAAATGTTTTCTTTATAGATGCACTGTAATCAATTTAACAGAATTTCTAGAAAAAAGGCCAAATGTTGACTGTGGAGAATTCCACTCTGACCTGCTGTTCTTATAGACAATGATACTCTGTTTTCCTGTCATCTCACTGCTCTGCTCTCACGCAGCTCCAGTTTAAGTCACCACAGGCTACATACACTTTCACTGTCATTTCAGCATTTGCATTACGTTCAGAGTTTGTGCAATATATTACACAATGAAATATGTTTACAAACCCAAAACAGACTTACTTGCTTGTGGTTTGCCCTGGGATCCTCTCTTGGTTTCGTCGTCTCTGGTGGTGGATAGTGTGTGTGTGTAGCTCTGCCCCACAGGGAGCTGAGTGCCAGGTTAGACTCGGTAGCTGAGTGATTCTGTCAGCCTGCTAAGCCTTTATGGATTACACTACAGCGGGCCCCTGGGATTGCTCTGGCATCAGTGCGTCTCTGCCCAGTTATGGTTAAGCAGAGTTTCCTTTTCCATCCTCATCCTCAATGTCTAACACTAACTTTACATTTACATCCATCATTACTTTGCACTCAACCTGCAAGAGATGGGTGACCTGATTTTGTGCTGTACAACATGGCAAACAGCAAGTTAGAAATAATACCTATTTAACAGACTCCAGATATGTTGAAATTTACACGGCTCAATGTTTTGAGAGAACAGGAACTAGAGGAGCTTCCAGTACAACCTATAACTTATTTACATATGAAAATTCTCTTTCTTGCAACCCTTTGCAATTGATCCTGATAGAAAACTATCAGGATCAATTGCCTTTATTTTGAAATTGTCCAATAACATGAATTTGCTATATTCATGTCAAGCATTAGTATTACTGTAGCTGAATGTACTCATCACAGTGAGGAATAAAAACAAATATGAAAAATCTCTGAGAGGGAATGGTACAATAAACATCTCCCTGCCAATCTTTAAAATGGTTCTGGAAAATTTGACAGAACAAAGGTAATAAGAAGAAAAATGAATTTATCCACCTGACGTGAACATGACATTGGTTGTGCTGAATGAGAAAATAAGATAAAATATATAAAATATGAATTACATATGGTATAAAGTGTTACAATAATAACTGACAGGTGTGTAGTCTGAGACCTTGTTACAGTGCATGATGGGGAAAACCTGATACTCAGAATGGATTGAAACTAAGTGCCAAGAATTAAATCCCGAGTGAAGACAACAAAGTCAAATCAATCAGAGAAACAGATCAACGTAGTACGTTGCAATAAGTTACAGTAAATGAACCATATTATTATTGGAAGTAAATGTGGAGGGCCAGTCATCCAATTGTGAAACAGAGTGAACTGTGCCATTGCCAGCTTCACTATTAAGAAACAGCAATGCATAAAATCCCCCACATAGGTCACACAGGATGCACTTAGACTGAGGACTACAGAAGAACTGACAGACACACTCATCATAACAATTCCCATCACAGGGAAAATGTAATAAACCACAGCAAAACATATTTTTCCTACAGCTTTGGCTGTTTCTTTTCTGATGACTGACATTTGGACTAGTTAATATTGTCATTAAAAAGCAATTAATGAAATAAGGTGTTTAAACAGTGCTTTAGACTGAGGCCTTTGTGACTAATGAATCAACACAGAGCAGAAGAAAAAATGGAATAGCTGGACATGCAGGTAATGTCCTGCTAGATCCAATTAACCTAACACCTTTTAAAAGGTGAAAATCCTTCTGTGAGGCTCTGTGTCTACTCATGGAACATTCACATGTCCTATCGGCTTTGACTTTTCTTTTGGGTTTTGATGATAGTTTGGATTTCAGGTTTTCTAAAGAGTAACAGAGTTTATGAGCAGTGAAGCAGAGTTGGTGGACCATTAGCCTGTCTAGTCTTACAGACCTCAGAGAAAGACAGATCCGCTTTTTCATCATCAACAATTGATTCTGTTTAACAAGATGAGACAGGAGTTACCCAGAAACATTCCTCGCAATATAGAGCAGAAAAAACAAAACAAAAATAGATTATAAAGTGAAAAGTGAAATAGAGAGGGACCAAAACGAAACAAGAAAGCAGCCAGGAATATGAGGTGATGCTGTGGCTCACTGTTTTGGTAATATCATTTCTTTCTCTAA